ACGCGTGAGGAAGCGTTTGGGCGCCACCTTTTCGATGATGCACGCCAAATTGCGGCTGCGCAAGTAAACCATCAACCTCTGAAAATGTTCGTTTGCGCTCTGCGTCAGCCCCATGATCTCGCCAAACTCCTCGCAGAACAGCGCGGGCAAACGCGCGGCCATCTCGCGCGGCGCGCAGCGTCGCGGCTGCATCAAACGGAAACGGCACCTGCTAAACCAAAACGGCCTCGAACATGTTTAGAATGGTGGGCGGCGGTGTCGGGGGCTCGCGCCGCCTAGCCCTGGAGGCGTCAAAATGTAGTCCTGGAGGCCTCAAGATGTCTAGCCCTGGAGGCTCGCATAGCCCGTCGGCTTTCTCATGAAAACGCAGCCCCGCATGCTTCGAGCTGACGGCCCACGGGGGGCCCGCGAGGCCAAACTGCTACAATGCGGCCCGAGGCGCGCCCAATAAAAGCCCCGACGGGGGGGGGGGGGGGGGGGGGGCACCTGCCGGGGCAGCTGCGAAAGCCCAGATGGAGGGGGCTGGGACACGACGCTTTCGCAGGACAGCCCCGCGCCCACCCGCCCCCCGCCCCCCCCCCCAAAAAAAAAATTAAAAGAAAAACAAGTACATATATAATATATATACATATATATAATAAAAAGAGACACACACACACACGCACACACACACACCACCCACCCACCCACCCACCACCCACCCACCCACACACACACACACACACTCCCCCCCCCCACCACCACCACCACCACCACCACCACCACCACCACCACCACCACCACCACCACACAACAACAACACACACACACACACCCCCCCACCCCACCCCACCCCACCCACACCACACACACACACACACACACACACACGCACACACAACCCACATGAGCTCGCATACAGGGCCCCAATATAGGGTTCGAAGATGGCCCCACGCATGCAACTACCAAAATATATACGCGCATGATACATCAGTGCTGGCGCCAAACATTGTTGAGATGAGCCCTGCGTGCCCTCGCGCGAATTAATCGGGCCCGCGGCGACAGCACGATTTGACTGCAACTGCTGACCGAGATGGTGGCCGCGAACCGATTTCCCCCAACTTGGAACTCCGAACAAACCCAAACTGGATAACGGAAAGAACTGTTTATAAAAAGAAACACGAAGCAAACATATTTTTTGAAACAAAAGACAAAAGGACACGCGATCATATTGAACATGCGAACTAATGGAAATTGGAACATGAAATTAATTTCTCAACAAATGCGGGATAGCGTGCACCAATTTCGCAGTGACACAAATTCGAACATCAGATGCGCGGAACTGTATATCAGTCTTGTGTACCAATATGCGCGGCAAACACTTACGAGTACTTATAAGCGCCTTCCTTCTGGCATGATTTCAGCAGAGATTCAATCTCTGGAGGGAAAGATGATTTCGCTTGGCATCCTGCCTATGTCTCCCACGTGGATACAAGCAGTTTGTCAGAGTTTTATAAGTAAGTTGTAGGAGTTATATAGTAGCTTACCTATGGTTTAGCTATCTCCAATATCTTTGCTGAACGATGCTAAACCCAAGAGCCATCTCAGCACCGCGGCGGCGGTGGCCCAGCAGGCGCCTTGCATCTCGCCGCAGCATGCCCCGCCGCGCAGGGATGAGATACCGACGCCGACGGCCGCCGGAAGCATTCATCTCCACGCCGCCCCACTGATGCAGACGAACACGATCCGCGAGCTCGCAGGGGGCGCGCCGCGCCGCCACGCGCACGCCCAGCTCACCCATGCACGCCGGAACCTCAAAGCTACCCGTTGATCCAATCGGCGTCGAAACTCCCCTCGCCCACTGGGCTGGGACGCAGCATGACGTCTAGTCTAACGCGCCACCCTCCAGGTTTGCCCCACAGATCACAGGCGCGTCGCCGGATGGCCCGCACGTCTCGACGCCCTCGCGCACGCCCAACAGGAGATGCCAAAGCTGGGCCCCCATCTCGGCCCGATCATCAGCAACCCGAGCATATCTTTACTACGAAGTTCTCCTGGAGCCATTGCTGCGCCAGCAGCCTGTCGGCTGCGAGGGCCCTTCCTGCTGGCCGCGAGCGATCGCCACTCTCACCGGCGGACCTCGGCCGTCGCTGCGCGGGCGCAGGCGGCGACGCTGCCCGGCGCGCGGGAGGGGCCCCCATCCCGCTCGGGCGACCGTCGCAGCCATCGGCCCCAACCTCGGCCCCCAGCGCGGCCCCCCCCCCAAGGGCCACCCCTCGCAGGGCCGCCGACGACGCCACCGTCGCCAGGGGAAAGTACTGGAAGGCGGACGCAGCCGCGGTCGCAACCAACCCCACGGGGCGCAGCGGGCGCCCTCGCGGCTGGGGCGCCCAATCCTTCGCCGGCCCCGGGCTAGTTCCCCGCCCCCGTAAACGATTCAGCAAACGCCGAATGGACCCAAGCGCGCCGTCGCCTCCACCCGCAGGGGGTCGCCGCCGCCGTTTCGCAAATGCCCCCCGCGCGCGGGGGCGCCATGGAAGTCCCCACAAGCCGCCCGACGGCGCGTCGGCATGCTGCAAATGCGACCCAGTAGCGTCGAACGATACTTCTGCGCACGGCGGGCGCACCAGCAGATCTGCGCCGGCTCCCCGGGCCGCGGCGCGGGCGCGTCGGACGCCGCTGCGCCCTCTACCAGCAAGACCACTGGTTCCACAAGCCCTCGGCCCGAGCCCCCCACCTGGCTCTGGCGGGCGGGCCCCGCTGGCCACATGCACGCCCGCCCGCGCCGCTCAGCACGGGCGCCCCCTCGCCTCGCCCCTACCCCCCGAGCCCAGGGCCAACGGCTGGCCCCCGCGGCGCCGCCGATGCAGCGAGGCCCCGGGCGGGGGCAGCACGGCACTTGAGCATTGACCAGCCCAACCCAAAGAGCAGCCACCAGACCAGAGCGCCCACTTTACGCGCGGCCCCACGGCCACGGCACGGCGAGGAGTCGCCGCCCCAGGCCACCCTAGATCCACAATCTGCACGTGGCCACTGGCTGCGAAGCGATCAACGCGCATGGGGCGAGCTGCCATGCACCACACCGTTCGACAGAGATGCACCTGGTCGATAGCTTCCAAATTCGCCCTTCAGGCACGGCTCGTGCAACCCAGCACTTGATCAACATGCGCCGTCAAGCCATATCGATCGAGGCGGGGCTTCGACAGGGCCCCCCTGGGTCCACCGCTGCACTGAAATTGGAAGATACGCGGGCCACTTGCCCGCGCTTGCGCGGCAGCCATTGGTTCGGGTTCGGTCAGTGCCCCTTCCGCGGAACCGCGCTCGCTGAAGCGCGGGCGGGAGCGGCGGAAGGGCCGCCTCCGGCCCCGCGGGCCGTCGGCGGCAGCACGCTGCGCAAGCTGCCCCATCGCCCAGGCGACCCAAGCATAATTCAAGGCTAGCGGCACCATCGCCGCGTTGATGCAGCAGGCAGCGGCACCCGCCAGGAAGGTGAACACGGGCACGGCTGCGCCCCACCAGTAGCCCAAAAGGTTCACGCCCAGGCTGTCCACCGCAGTTCCGATCTACCCTCACTCTGCCTGAGCGAACCAACGCGCTCCGGCGAGTTTCGCCAGATCCCCAACCCGCTGATCTCGAAGGCCCAAGCAATGAACCACCAAGGCCGCGCGGGCGCGGGCTCACCAGGCCCGGCCGAGGGCGGCAGGCCGGGTGCAGGCCGGTCCGCCTCCTCAGCACACCACCGAGTCGGCACGGCCAGCAGCCAAGCGCGTCAACCCTCGCTGCCTGAGCCTGGAGGCTCCTCCAATGCTGTAGGTTCGGGGCTCACTCCCGCGGAATCCCCCTCCCCCTCCACAGCACGCCCCGTAGTCGAAGTCGTGGGCGATCGCCCCTTCCCAAGCCCCGCGCTCGCCTTCGCGGCTGGCGGTTTTCGCTCCAGGCCCCCGGCGCCCCTCGCCGACGGCGCGGGACTCACGCCATTCACCCCTCGACCGAACGGCCACCATCCGCTGGCCCGGCTCGTTTGCAAACCGCCGACGCTGATGACCGCAGCGTGCACCACGAGCCCGCAGGGCCCCATCGCCGCGCGGCTAACCCCCCCCTTGCTCGCGAGCGTGGTTTCGGACGGACACGGCACGGCCCACCGGCACAACCCTAGGTCTCGAGCCCGAGTGGCTGCACAGACCAAAATGGGAAACCCAAAAGTCCCCACTCCCGCCGCACATCACGTGTAGTCTCAACGGACACACTATACAATCCCCTCCCGAAGAATTAGGGATCCTTCAGCTGCTAACCAAGGAGGAAGATGAGCAAGAGGAGGAGCAGGAAGTAGGACTGCTTACGATTCGATTCGATCCGATGCAATCCAAAACTTCACTTCTGACTTCGCCCCGATCTGATCTGGTACGAGCCGATCGCCTCTAGGGGCCTGTAGGGGCCGAGCCTGGCCCGCGACCCCGAACGGTCCGATCTCGATCCGATTCCGCGACGATTCGAGCGCGATCCGATCCGTTTCCGATTCGATCTCGCGAGGCTCGGGGCTCGAACCTCGACCCCCGAAACTCCAACTTCGATCCTCGATCCTCGAACTGCGAACCTCGATCATCGGCGAAACTCTGACCGCGATCAACGAACTGCGAACCTCGATCGATCCTTGAACATGGGGCCCCAACCATCGATCCTGGCCACGGAAGGCGCGGAGCCACCACCAGGGATAAAACCTGCCTGAAATCAAACGTTACAAAACATCGCAGCATCGCAAAAAGTTATGACCGGAACCCTGGACCCCCTCGTTCTGCCGCATTTTGTAGGCCAGGTCGATACGTGATGGTCCCGGGGCCCGAAAGCAGGCTTGTACCCGGTTTGAAGGAAGTGCGCAGCGCCCAGATCTGAAGGATGCGGGCAAAGGAGTGAAGGAGGAGGGAGAAGGGACGCGGAAGGAGGCAGGAGGCGGAGGGAGCAGGAGGAGGTGGCAGGGGGGGTTCGGGAGGGGCGCGCGCGGGACGGCGCGCAGGCGCCAGGTCCTTCAGCACGCTGACGTGGTCGTTGAAACTCATGCCTGCCCTGGTCTCAGGCCGCAGCCGCGAACCCTCGGGGAGCGTCCACCCCACCCAGAAAACCTCCTCGCGTCGTCAAGTGAAATCCAGTGCTCGGCCTCTGGGGGCCCTCACCAGGCCCCAGGACCGTCAAAGAACAGCTCGGGATGAAAGGCCGGTCCCAGGGAGCGGGTCGATATCTCCGCGGGTTAATGGTGTTAAAAGTCATGGCGTCGAGTGTCTGAGCAGCGACCCTCGCTGCAGCCCCTGGCCACCCGGCCAGGCCCACGCTTAAAGGACAGCTTCTAGGAGGTCAGGCCCGGTCAGGGGGCCACTGTGCCGGATTCGCCCAGGTTGCGCCCGGGGTGGGCGTCGCTCAGGGGGGGGAGAAAGGTTCACTTTTCGGGCCCTGCAGGCCCCTTACGGCCCCCTTCAAGGGCCCCAGAGGGCCCCCTTTCTGCAGCCCTCGCTGCCCTCCCCCACCAATTTATCGCCCCCGCGCTACGCGAAGCCCAAAGGTGGGATCAAGATAGATTTCCTGGGATGATGCTGGATGTGGCATGCTTTCGCCACAAATATGCCAGCGCCGATGCTGAATTCCACCAACCCTCTGGGCGCAAGTGGTCCAACGAGGTTTATCTTTCCTCTTCCAAGACCGCTCTTCCATTCAGGGAAGGGTACCCTCCCCCTCCCCTCCGTGGATTTTGTTGGGGGGGTCCGCGAACGGTCAGGGCGCCCAAAATGGCTCAAGACAGCTTCAAGACGGCCTCCAAGATGGCTCAAGATAGCCGACGATGGTTCTAGATAGCTGTCGACATGCCTCCAATAGGCTCCAAGATGGCCACGAGACGGCTCCGAGTGCTCTCGGAGCCCCCTCGGGGCCCCCCAAAAAAGTCAAAGTCCTTCAACACCTAAAAATGTGTGTATGTATTTATACACGCGTGTGTGTACATGTATTGTATGTACACACGTATACACGTAGATATATGTATGTATACCTATACGACCACCCTTCGGGTGACAAGGAGGTGAAAGGGTGGGGGAGGGACCAACGCCGTACTCGCTCGATTAAACTGTCGAACTCACCATCGATCTCAGTATCGATCTCAATCGATCGATCGCACAATCGATTTGATTATCGATATCACGATCAAACTCACGATCGATGTCACAATCATTCTCACATTCGGTATCACTATCGATATCATTACAAATACCCCAATCGATCTCACAATCGATCTCACATTCGGCCTCACTATCGATCCCACTATCAAACCCACTATCGATCTCAGTATTGATCTCACATTTGGTCCCACTCTCGAAATCACCATCGATGTCACATATCACAACCGATCTCACAATCGATCTCGCGATCGGTCTCAGTATCGATATCACTATCGAACTCACGATCGATATCACACCCGGTCTCACTATCGATCTCACGATCGATATCACACTCGATGTCACATTATGTATCACTATCGATATCACTATCGAACGCACGATCGGTATCACTATCGATCTCAATCGATCGATCACACGATGGATCTGCCGATCGATCTCACGATCGAACTCACTATCGACTTCATTATCGGTTTCACATTCGGTCCCACTATCGATCTCACTACACATACCCCAATCGAAATCACAATCGATCTCACATTTGGTTCCAGTGCCGATCCCACTATCGAACTCACCATCGATTTCACGATTGATCCCACATTCGGTATCACGATCGATCGCACGATCGATATTATAATCGAAATCGCAATCGATATCACATTCGTTCCCACTATCGATCTCAATATCGAACTCACTCTCGATCTCACTATCGATACCACATCCGGTCCCACTATCGATCTCACTATCGATATCACGATCGATCTCACATTCGGTATCACTATCGCTCTTCTCATCGAGCGCACGATCGATCTCATTATCTATCTCAATCGATCGATCTCACACTTGATCTGACGATCGGGCTCACACTGGTCGCAGTATCGGTATCGATGCATCTCACATTCGGATTCACTACCGATCCCACTATCGATATCACAATCGATCTCACAATCGAACTCACATCTGGTCTGACTATCGATTTCACAATCGATCTCACAGTCGGTCTCAAAATCGATATCAGTATCGATATCACTATCAATCCCACTATCGATATCACTATCACATCTCCACATCGATCCCACTATCGATCTCACTATCGATCTCAGCATCGATCTCACTATCGACTGCACGATTGATCTCACAATCACTCTCACATTCAGCCTCATTATCGATATCACTACCGATCACAATCGAACTCACAATCGAACTCACATTCTGTATCACTATCGATCTCCCTATCGATCTCACATTCGGTCTCACTATCGATATCACTATCGAGATCACGATCGAATTCACTGTCGATGTCACGATCGATCCCACTATCGATCTCAGTATCGATATCACTATCGATCTCGCTATTGATCGCACGATTGGTCTCACAATCGATCTCGCATTTGGCCTCACTATCGATCTCACAATCGAACTCACATTATGTATCACTATCGATCTCCCTATCTATCTCAGATTCGGTCTCACTATCGATATCACGATCGAGATCACTATCAAATTCACTATCGATATCACTATCGATCTTACTATCGATCTCACGACCGATCTCACGATCGATCGCACAATTGATCTCGCAATTGATCTCACATTCGGCCCCACTATCGAAATCGCTATCGATATCACTACCGATCCCCCGATCGATCTCACTATCGATATCACTATCGATTCCCCCCATCGGTCTCACAATCGATTTCACGATTGATCTCACTATCGAACTCACGACGGGACACCAACGGGACACTGACGGGACACCGACGGGGCGCCAGCGGGACACCAGCGGGACACCGGCGAAACACCGGCGCGGCACCGCTTGCCAGAAGGGAGCCCTTTGGTCCGGGCGCGCCTCTACCACGCGGAACACCAGCGGGGCGCCGGCGGGGCGCCGTCGGGGCGCCGGCGGGACACGGGCGCGGCACCGTCTGCCGGAAGGGAGTCTTTCGGCCCGGCCGCGCCTCGCCCGCCCGCGCAGCTTCGCCTCGCCCGCGCGCGCGGCGCGAGCGCACACGAAACCGGAATCGATTTCCCGGTAGGGGGGCTCTCCGTTCCACTTTGATATCACCCCCTCTCCCCCGATAGATGTGCGTGCACGCGCGCGTTGTTCACCATATCACCGTCTCATTTCCGATGGGCTTCGGAGGCCTCACGATGGCCATACCACGGCCCAAGAGAGCCCAAAAAGGGGGCCAGGAGGCTTCCAAGACGGCCCCAAGGAGCGCCCAAGAGCGCCCCAAGAGCGCCCAGAGAGAGCGCCAAGAAGCGATGCTGATGGCTCGAGGGAGAACATCAATTAAGCAACCCTCCTTCTTTGGTCGATGGCCTCCCAAATGCCTCCGCGAGGCCCCAAATGGCCCCCAACTGGCCCAAGCGGCCCCCGAGTGGCCCCCAACAAGCCCCCGAGAGGCATCCACCGAGGCCACCGGGACCGCCAAGAGGCCCCAGATATGGCCCGAAGATACCCAAGATGGCCCGAAAAAGCGCCCTCCAAGGACACCCCCGTGCTCCCAGAGATCTCTCTGTGTCGTGGCACCGTGGCTAAACCGCGCTGCTTCACTATATTATGCCTCTTCCTCCCATCTCTTTTCGGCTCTGGGGTGCCAATGGAGATGCGCGAATGAGCTGGCGGGGGTAGCTTGCGCTCGCAAGCGTAACGGAAGTGCCGAGCGCCGCCCGAAAAACGCAACACCCTGGCCACGGCCTAAATTTCGCCAGCGGGAGAGAGAAGGAGAGAGACAACGAGAGGACAGCGGGGAAGAGACAACAGGAGGCGGGCCTCGCCGCCGCTCGGAAGCGCGCCATCGTCTGGGGGGTGAACCACCAGCGGGCTGCAACGCCAAGATGGCGGGGGTGAATTCAAGTTGCACGACTCCGCGAGCACGCCAGCGAGCAGGCGCACCACGAAGAGAAGGCGCCAGGGACAAAAGGGCACACCGCCACATGGGTAGCAGGCGCCCACCACGCGCATCCGGCCGTCAACCAGCGCACATGCAGGCGCTCGACGGACCAGAGAACGGATCGCCAAACGCCGCCAGAAACTGATACCGATGTCGAGGACGCGCACCCACCAGGCTGGGCTGGCGGTGATTTTTCTAATCGCGAGCGCGCCAGAGAGGCGGGGCGCCGTCAAGGTCGCAGCAACGGGCCGCGAGCGAATTGCGCGCCAGGGGGCGGGGGGGGAACAAGCAACGAGGGGAGAAAGCCAACGGGTATACTTTTTTGATCGCGGCCGCGGCGAGACAAATCGGGCGGCGGAAAGGAACGATGCGCAGATGCACCGGCCTGAATTAGCGCACATGAGAGGGAGGGCGACAGGAAAGAGAACAAGAACGAGCAGGAGAGACGGACAGCAGGCGAACCTCACTGCCGCTCAGAAGAGCGCCGGCGCCAGGAGGAGCCACTAGGCGTCGCGCGGCACCACGAGGCAAGTGAAGAGGCCAAAGACCCGGGCGTGGAAGACCGTCGCGAGGAACAGCACGCCAAGGACAAAGCCAGGAACCATCACATCACGACGACCCTCGACGCGAGGAGGGGCATGCCGCGCGGGCGCTCAACAAAAAAATCCGGATCGCAAAACACCAAACGCTGGTGACCGGTGAGGATTTTCCGCTCGCGAGCGCAAGCGGCATAGCCGCGCGCCGTCGCGCAAGGGCCCAGCAAGCCAAAACGCAGCGGCCGCAAACAGAAGCCGCGAACAGGCAGCGCGCTCAGAAGCCGAAGATGGCGAAGAAGAAGACAGCCGGGCCCACGCGCGGGGGGGGCCCAGCAAACTTGCCCGCGAAGAACTTGCACCGGCAGAACTCCGCCCAGACGGAGTTGTCCTCGCCAGATAAGCCAACGACCAGGGCCGACCGTGACACGCCGACGCCGTCGTTAGCACGGGACTAGCACAACTACCACGTAGCCAGCCACGCGAAGCAATGACTCCAGGTAATCGGTCGCCCACTCAGCCAACGCTCCAGGGAGCAACTGACGCGCCGGGCGGCAGGCGCGGGTCAGAGCAACGCAGCGCCGTCGGAGCATCCTCCAAAGAGAGGCCCCCGCGCTCGCCGTCACTGAGCCAATGTCACAGGATAACGCCGAAGGCCCTAGAGACAGCGCGCCCAAGTCG